TCTTTAATCGTCTTTCTACTTTTTGGAGAGAAAAAATAAAAATATTTTTTAACAAGCAATTTTGTTTCCTTTTAATCGCTCTTTCTCTCACTCTCTCTCTCTTTCGCAACTAAACCCCTTTAAAACTACAACAACAAACAACAACGAACAAACAAACAAAAGTATTCAAAAAGTATTTTTAATTCTTTTAATTTTTTTTTTTTTTGATCGAGCAGAAAAATTTTTTTATTTTTTTTTTTTACGCTTGATGAACAAAAATAAAAAAAAAAAGGTTTTTCTTTATTTCTTCCAATTATTATTATTATTATTATTATTATTATTATTATTATTATTATTATTATTATTATTATTATTATTATTATTATTATTATTACCCACCATTAAACACGACAAGGCTACTTGTCGGGGTTTTTTAAGTATTTATCCGAGGTTTCTACCCGATTCCATAGGGACAAATACTCGAATTTCGGTGGTGCCACTTATTATAAGATAGCACCACATCAATTCTTGAAGGTCTTCCTGAGTCCATCTTTATTCGATGGGAACGATTTGTCTCCTGAACTGGGCTCCAGTGACTAACATCTTTGGAGTGGCCAGGATTAGAAGCAGTGAAATTCACATTCTCGTCGAGCTGCCTCAGGTCGACAGTAGAACAAGATTTGTTTTTGGTTCTTACTTTGTCTTGTTCTCATTTTTTTTTTTTTTTGCTCTTTTAAGCCAACGGCACGTGGCGTTCTCAAACGGTCACCCATCCAAGTTTACACCACGCCCAATGCTGCTTAACTTCGGTGATCGTACGGGAACCGGTGTGACCAGCACGGTATGGCCGTTGACTTATTATTATTATTAATAAAAAAATTTAATTAATGTTTAACGATTCGTAAATGGCAGGTTCAAACAAAAACCTAAGCGAAAAAATTTTTTTTTTTATTGTCTCCCACACGCACGGAAATACACACACACACTCACTCTTTCTTTCTCTCTCTCTTTTACGAAAACGACGACGACGGCGACGACGATGGCGATATCTGGATGAAAACTCAAAAAGATAATAATAATAAATAATTTTCAAGGAATTTTCCTGTTGCACTTCTAATGGAATAAACGGAAACGATTATGAGTTCATATCAAAATAAAAGAAATAAACAAAAAGCCTGTGAAGAAAAAAAAAGGACAAAACGATAAAAATTACTACTCTGCTGCCACGTCAAATTTAAGTAATTAATTTCTTACGTTGTACACGACTCACTAATCATTTATTTTAAAAACTTTAATTAATTAATTTTTTGTTTAGAAAGTAAGTAAAAAAAAAAAAAAAAAAAACCGAAGAACGTGGAATTCACTGGAAAAGAAAAAAAAATTTCCCTCCTTTTTTTTCTTCTTTCCCCGCCTTTCTCCCCTCCTTTCTCCCCCTTTTTTTAAATTTTATTCATAATTAAAACAGTATCAATATTTGGCAATATTGATTGTTTTTTTTCCAGCATTAATAATAATAATGTTTTAAAATAATGAGAAGAAGAAAAATTTTTTAAATGGCGGACTTAATAATATTAATAATAATTAAAATTTCGTAACAAAACCTTCGAAGTCGAAGTTTATCCAGTTTGAAAAAAAAAAAAAAAGTTTTTCCTTTTTTTTTTTTTTTTATTTTCCTTCCCTTCCAGATTAATTTATTTTACGATTAATGAATAAAATTTTAAAATCCTCCTTCTAGAAAAATCTTTTAACGAAATAATTAATTAATTTTTAATATAAACTAAGAAAAACAATAAATAAATAAATAAATAAAATATAATAAAACCGGGAATTTAAAAAAAAAAAAAAAAATTTCTATAAAATTTCCAGTATTAATAAATTCCTCCAGTTTTGTTTCTTTTTTTTTTTGTTTCCTTAAAATTTTTTTTTTTTCTCCAGTTTGAGTTTTTTTTTATTCAGGTTTTAAGATTTTATAAGAAAAATAAATAAATAAATTTTACTCGATATCTGGAATTTTTTTTTTTTTTTTGGAAACTGGATTATTATTTGGAGAAAAAAGAAAAAGAAAAAAAAAAGGGGGGAGGGGCTGTAAATGTTTTCTTTGTTCTAATTAAACGTCATCAAATATTTAAACGTCCACTTTCCATTTCATCGACCTGGAAATTTATATTCCAGGTTATATAACTTTTTTCAAAACTTTTCTCCCCCATTAACTTTTTTTCTCTCTCTCTCTCTCTGTCTTTTTCATTTTTTTTCTTTTTGGTTCATCTTCTTTCCTTTTCCTCTTTTTCTCTCTCTTTCTCTCTCTGTCTTGTTCATCTTTTTTTCTCTTTGTCTTTCTCTCTCCCTTTTGTTTCTCTTCTTTTCTCTTTGTCTTTCTCTGTCTTCCTTTCCTCCTCTTGTTCATCTTCTTTTTGTTGTTGTTTTTTGTTTTCTCCCTCTCTTATTTTTTTATATTGTTTTTTTCTTTTGTTTATCTTCTTTTCCCTTTCTCTATCTCTTTGTCTTGTCCATCTTGTTTTCTATCTCTTTCTCTCTTTTGTTCATCTTCTTCTTTCTCTATGTTTTGTTTATATTCTTTCCTTCCTCTCTCTCTCTCTCATTTGCGTCATTCATTTTTTCACGACGGAGAAAAAAATCAAAAACTTTTTTTATTTTTATTTTTCTTCGTTTCTTTCATTTTTTACTAATTAATTAATTATTTATTTATTTATTTTTTACTTTCAAGTCACGTTTTGACGTCATTTCCGCTTCCATTTAATACATATAAATTTATATTTTTTTTTTAAAATCATATCCTTTTAATTATTTATCCTTTGACCTCCGTATTTAATAAAAAAGTTTTAACTTTTTCGAATTTTTTTTTTTTTTTTGATAATTTTCAATTAACAAAACCGTGTTGTTTGTTTGTTTGTTTGTAAATCGTACGTACCCACACGATGTCGTTTTATTTATTTATTTTTTTTCGTTTTTATTTGAAAAAAATTTATTACTAAAACGAAAATGTTTGAAATTTATTTTTTCTTCTCCAGAACTTTCCTCCATCGTACGATTCTTTTTTTTTTTTTATACGCGCAATAAAATTTTTTTTTTTTTTTAAAAAAAAAGATTTTTAAATACGATATGAAACAAAGTTTGTTTTTTTATTAAACAAAAAAAGTCGTCTAGT